ACAATTTCCTTCAGGATTCAGTGAATTTATTCATTAGCTAAGCCATACAGGCCAGTACAGTCCCTCAAAGTCAACGTAAGACGTGTTATGTGATTTCAGCCATGGTGTAGTGATAATAAGGAGACAGTAACTAGTTTCAGCAGGTCAGTTTTGGTTAGGAAAGAAGAAATTGGCTTTGGATTACTGTCCAACAAGTCCTACCAGAAGATTGTGTACAGCGATCCAGTGAGAATTGGAATTGTTAGGATTTGACATTCCTATGCTTAAACCACTTACTGACACTCGATTATCAATAACAAAACTTGCATTTACATAGCAGATAGACAGAGCATTTACCATTGTTTCAATCACAGAACATTATTTGTGACTGTTTGTAAAAAAACACATTGAGAGGACAAAAAATTAATTGGAAGAATTCAAACTTTAAACCATGAGAATGACGGGCACAGATTTGAGAGGTAACAGCACATTCAAGGACTTTGGAGAAGAAACAGATTCATAGAGTCTTACAGCATGGAAACAGACCCTTCGATCCAACTAGTCAATGTCAAACATAATCCCAGACTAAACTAGTCCCATTTGCTTGCTCCTGGCCCTATCCCTCCAAACCTTTCCTATTCACATACCCATCCAAAATCGGGTTGGAGGTGGAGGTGGTGAACTTTCAATGCCAGTTCAGGAAGCTGCTTGTTCAATTCATTCCTGGTCCCAGCCCTGAGCCTGAGCCCCATCATTGTCTCAATGTTTACTTTTTAACTTTGAAGGCCTCATTTGCCAGGAGGCGAGCTCAGTGCACAATTAGTAGAGCCGAGCAAGCACAGGAGATGGATGCTGCCTACCAGTCACAAAAGCATGCGGTGGCCATATTGGGACCTGCCTTGGCTGATTAGAGAAGATAGTTCTTTGGGATGGAAAGCAACTATGGTGGCATAGGATAGGAGCAGTGCTCATACCAGTACTGGTTAGATCCACAGTAAACGTAAAAGCTCATACAAACTACTTTAGAAGGGTCCCTGTTGTGACTGAGACTATTTGAATTAATCAGAAAAATCATTTAAAAATTCCTGTCTGGAACTAACCAGCCTAATGAGCTTCTTTAATGAACTGAAGCACCATCAATTGGCTTTGAGTGCATTTTATGTTTCCTTCCAAACTCCCCAGATGCCTTTCGGCAAGCCTTTGAAGATTGTTGTCCTGAAGACAACAAGATCTAATTCTTGCATTTGGTTTTGGGATGTTTGTGGTTGGCCTGGTTTGCTGCAACCAACTGAGTCTTAACAGGAAAAGGCTCCTCTATTAAAGGAACATGTAGTTTACTGCTTGGTAGCTATTCGGCACAAGTCACATTAGCAAGTTGAGCATGTTTATCAAGATTGTGAGAAGGTCTATGATATAGGTCTGCACATCACAAGATCTTCAAATATTCTACTTTATCTCCACCTAAGCCTGTATGATGTCATCAGATTGGGTGGAGCTAAATGCAGTCTCCAACACATTCTCTTTCAGAACCAATTATCTTGTACAACACTGCCTTCTGGAATGCAATTTTCAAATCGCACAGGGAACCATTCCCACTTCTAGTAGTAAATGAAAATCCTGCCAGGAGTGTTGGTTTGTCAAGATTGAATGATCAGGTGTTGCTCTTTTATTTTGAAAAGTGATCACAACAGATTAAAGGGTATGAGAGGTGGGGATGGGGGAAGGCTGGGGCTCAGTAACTGAGTAGAGAGAAGCGTCAATAATGTTAGCTAACACAGGAGTCAGGGAGGAAGTTTTTAGTTTAGTGGGAATTGAGCAGAGAGAACAGGACATAATCCTTATGATGGGCCATTGACCTGAAATGTTAGCTTTGTATCTCTCTCTATGGATTCAGCTAAGCCTGCTCAGCATTTCCAGCTTCTATTTTACGCCTATTCATACTGTGACTTGACTGACTACTGTAGAGCTGGCCAAAAATCAATGGACTGAAAAGTAGTATTTCACAGGCCCGATTACCAGGGTTGACCTATGGCCATACTTTGGACAACTTGCTTTAGAGTGGAAGGGTCTGCTTTCAGCCAGCAGCAAAAAAAAAAGCTACTTGCACTCCAGAGAAATGTAATTGAAAGGGTTTACTTCAGACAAATCAAAAAAAAATTCAAGACAGATAGTGATAGAAGCGACTTGTGGCAATGCTATGGTTATAAGAGGTTTATTTTATCCTTTTTTTTTATGAAGAAAGGTTGAGACAGAGGTAATGAGCAGTCTGCTCAAAGCCAATAGAGTAAACAGCTTGTGAAGCCTGGAGTTTTTTCTAAAAAAATGGAATAGAGGCAGCTTGAATGGGTAGGACCAAGTTCCCACAGAACTAGGGCTTTTAGTTTTAGCTTTCTGCAGTTACTGGGGTCTTGAAGCTGGATGTGGAATCCCTTATTCTTCTCGCTGTGACAGGTAAAAGCTGGGGTTCTCTTCCTGCTACTAGATTTGAATGTGAGAAACTCTATTTTACTGAGTTTGCCCTTGACGAGGCATGTTAATGAGATGTTACTACATTGGAACAGTTAATTAGGAGCAGTTAATACATATATTATTTTGTTAAGCATTTCGATAGTTACAGTTAAGCTAATTCTTTTCTTTTTATTTTGTCTGTATTTTAACTATAGTGTAAAACTAAAAAGGTGTTTTGCTTAAAGTTGAGTAATTTGACCTATTGGATGAATCTGACCTTTAAAATAAGAAAAAGTTAGGATCTAGACTTTCTTCTTAATATATTTTAAGGGGGGTTGGTCTGGTCCATAACAGACTCCTGCAGTGGATTCAAGTCCTTGTCATAACAGGTGCCCTCAAATGACACCTGTTACATAACCACTGTAACAATCTGACCTAGTTCAGGATTCCAATTATTCAAAGGAGCATCTTCTACAGTGAGTTCACAGGGGAACAGTCAACATAGGATTGCACGGGCTTGCTTGAATAAACTGTTTACCTATCCTTCAGGAGCTACCCCTTTTGTGTTTCTATAGCAATCAAACAGTGAGGCAATATCACTGTTACTTTCTGAAAATTAAACTACTTCCAAGAATTTGAAATCCATGGATGTTAATTGAATTTCAATAGATTGTCTTCAGCAATGTTTCTTATTAAGATTAGGTATGCTGTTAAATTTTCTTGGAATACATGCCCATTTTTAAAACTGACTTCAGTATGAGAAGCAGAGAGACTAATGATGCTATGAGGTGGCAAAAATAAAGAAATTTCAATGTACAAATTCTATCTTAGCAGGTGTCCTGAAGAAGTCTTTTAAAGGACACTGCTTCTTTGGTGCAAATAAACATGGAGCTGATATTAAAGCACTTATTAGGTCATGATGCAGTTAAACCATAGATGTCTATGGTACTGACCGTTCACCTCATCATTTGCAAAAGCCTATTTATAATATTCTATAGAGATTTCTGATTGACTGTAATTATTCCGTAGACTGGAGGCGGTAACAGTAGCGATGTAACTGGACCGGTTAACCATTAGTCTCAGACTAATGCTCTGGAGCCAAGGGTTCCAAGCCCAACGCGGCAGCTGGTAGTATTTAAATTCAGTTCAGAGAAATCTGAAATACAAAGCTATCACAGTGGTTGCTGACTATGAAACAACCATTGATCATCAGAAAAAAAACCATCTGGTTTACCAGTACTTTTTAGGAAAAAAAATGTGTTATCCTTACTCATTTTGGCCCATGTATGACTCCAAAACAACTCTTAACTACCGTCTAAAATGACTGAGTTAGCCATATTCGTAGAGAAATTAAGGAAGGGCAACACATGCTGGTCTTGCTGGCCAGACCCACAATCAATGTATAAATGTAGAAAAAAACCTTTTTGCCAAATGAGGAAATTCATTTGCCATTTGAATCAGACATATTCTACATTAATTACTTAAACTTCAAATCATTTTATTAGTCATGGCTTAAATATTACAGGCTAATATGATTCATACTTGTTTATATACAAATGTAAATATGAACTATATGCTAGGCTTTCAATCTATTTACATATTTAAAGATGTTTTAATGTCAGTCCAATGATGAAACAAATTGAATAACGCCTACATTTTTTACATTGACTTTTATTTCTGAGGAAGGGTCACTGGTTTGAGATGTTAACTTGGTTTATCTCTTCACAAATACTGCCAGATCTGCTGAGTTTCTCCAGCACTTCCTGTTTTTGTTATTGACCTTGGTGGTTAGATTTAATCATCAATGAGCAATAATTTCCACAGCAGCCAAATAGCAGCATTTTGACAGAATTCTGACTAAGTCAGGAACTAAATAAACCAATAACCCACCTCCATTAATCTCTAGTATAAATAAATATTTCTATCATCTATACCGGACATATGGTTTCACTCAAATTAACTGCAGATCATTTCCCTATTAAGCTCCAACACTCTGCAAATGTATTCAAATGCTCTGTAAAATGCTCTTACTGCATTAATTCTCAACTATCAGAATGCCTTTATATACCATAGAACAGTCTCTTTTGTTCCATCAGTTCTAACTTAGTGCCAGATACTAGATTTGTTAGCTTTCTCAAATAGAGATAATCAAAACTGAGAATAAATACAGAGAAAGTGTTCCTGTCTGGCAGGGAAATTGGTAGCCAAAGGACACAGATTTCAGGTAATTGGCAAAAGAGGCAGAGGAAATATGAAGAGAAACATTTTCGCTCAGCAAGTTGATATTGTAAGGAATGCACAGCCTAAAAGGGGAGAGGCAATGGATTCAATAGGAACTTGCAAAAGAAAATTGGATATATATTTGAAAAAAAATACAGGACTTTCAGGAACAAACTGAAAAGTAATACAACTTGAATAAAACATGGTTAAATTTATTTTTTTAAAAAATACTGAGGTTTTACATTTGATCACAAACCAATCACACACCCATGGTCTGAGGGAAACTGTTTTAGAACAATCCAGTGTAACCTAAATTGGCCAAATTTATCCATCTGTTCTGTATGACTCCATGATCCTCCACTTATATAGATAGCAGGAACTGCAGATGCTGGAGAATCTGAGGTAACACCTCCCAGTCACGAACCATTTCAACTCCTCCTCCCATTCCTCAGACGACATGTCCATCCTGGGCCTCCTGCAGTGCCACGACGCTGCAACCCGAAGGTTGCAGGAACAGCAACTCATATTCCGCTTGGGAATCCTGCAACCCAAATGTATCAATGTGGACTTCGCAAGCTTCAAAATCTCCCCTCCCCCTACCGCATCCCAAAACCAGCCCAGCTCGTCCCTGCCTCGCTAACCTGTCCTTCCTCCCACCTATCCCCTCCTCCCACCTCAAGCCCCACCCCCATCTCCTACCTACTAACCTCATCCCGCCCCCTTGACCTGTCCGTCCTCCCTGGACTGACCTATCTCCTCCCTAACTCCCCACCTACACTCACCTTTACTGGCTCCATTCCTGCCTCTTTGACCGGTCTGTCTCCTCTCCACTTATCTTTTCCTCTATCCATCTTCTATCTGCCTCCTCCTCTCTCCCTATTTATTTCAGAACCCCCTTCCCCTCCCCCAGTTCTGAAGAAGAGTCTAGGCCCGAAACGTCAGCCTTCCTGCTCCTCTGATGCTGCTTGGCCTGCTGTGTTCATCCAGCTCTACACCTTGTTATCTCCACTTATATAGTTGTTTGGTAGTACACAATTTGTGCTGCTGAACATTGTCATTCAGTATTAATGTGTGCATCCTGCATGACAACACCTCTACCAATCAAAGTACACTTACCAATCAATCAGCATCCTCCTTTCATGCAGTATAAATGTTGGGTTTCCCCTTGAATTATCCTGATAAGTTCAAAATGAAAAAATTAACAAAATGAATCACTTTTCTTCAGCAAAACTCATGTCTTCTTCTTAAATACTTGTGGACAGAATATTGCAGCTGGTTCTTAAGAAGTACAACTTAAAGTTAAACTTAAATAATGTAGTATAGTGGGGACTATCAATCATGGATTTACCCGCTGTATTTCTGCTAAAACACTACATTTCCTAATTTAACCTCAAATCTCCAAAACGTGAACAAAAGACTACCAATACTCAGTGTTGTGACTTTCTTGAAGTATTTCTCGATATATTATACCTATTTCTTAACTTTGATGCGCTCCTATGCTTGATAGTCCACTGTTTAAATTGATAACTTCGACCACCTTGTATCCTCCAGTGTTAGCTCTGACTGTGCACCACTTGTAACTATTCAAACCATTTTCATGCAAGGTCTACCTAATTTAAGCTATGAAGGGTGGCAGCTTTGGCAAAGATGAAGGCCAAATGATAAGAATTGAGTGAAAATGATGTAGAATCAGTCACAACCAACTATGTAAGTACTTCAGATTCTTTATCAGCTGTCTTAATTCTGTACAGTAGTCTTTCTTGGCAAACTTTTTTTTTAAACATTAGAGAAAGCTTAGAATGTGCGTGTTTGTACTTGATGAAGCCAAGACTTTTTCAAAAGACCACAAATTTTTACGGTCCGCAGATCTTTGTCGTCCTTACTCATTCAGTCTAAGGCACAGCCCATTCACTGGGGTATGTATGACTTCTAGCCTGACCTTTTAACAAAAAGCTATCATTAAAGATCTGGAAGGTTGATGTATCCTTGATTGTAAGCTGCATTTAAATTTTTTTTTACACTGGTTTGGTCAATTTCAGGCAATTGTGCTGGAAACACCACTAGAACCTAACAGAAACTCTAACTCTCAAACTCAGTGCAGCTTCAACGAGATATCACGACCACTACCATCACCTCCCATCCCCAGTAGTCAGTTTTTCACCACCTGATAAGAGACTTAGCAATTGCTTTGTACAGATCTGCTGAATTATACATTGGGTCTTAGCTGGAATCCAGAAAATATGTCAAACAGTTGAAGCATACTATTAGTACTCAAATGGAAAAAGTTGTGCGTTGGTAGTACATCCACAATGTAATCCGAGTCATCTGTGCATGCTTTTCAAAAAAAAATAAAATCAAAGTAAGTAGTGCCTATATGAAAATGATTGAAAAAAAGAAAATACGAATAGGTTTTTTCAACTTTTCAAAAAAAATTTCTAGCTCAGTATGTTGTATAAATTGTACTGAAAGGAGTCATTGTGTGACTGCCTGTTCTTCCTCATGCTCATTGTACATGATAGTGGGTGTGAAGGGAAGCTTCCAATTGTAAAGGAGCTGCTAAATTAACTGAGGCTTATTTAGGGAGGGCTAATTTGCTGGTTCATTTCAATCTGAACCTGTTGGAAGAATTTATATTAATTGAAAAGGGGACAAGCCAATGTGCAAAAGTCACACAAGAACGGAGGGAAAATCGATGCTCACGTTGGTGATTATAATACTTGAGGACGAGGGTACATTGCTTCACCTTTCTCCTAAACTTGAAATTAAAAAAAATGTCAGAACTGAGTTATACTTTGTCTTTTTAATGGAAGTGAATCAGTAGCGGGGCGATACAGGAAATCCGGTATTGTTGTCATTAGTTAAAGATAAGATGCACTGTGGCTGCAATCTGAGCACTCCTGAAATAAAAAGCAGCAGAGTTGGAAGGTGTTCCAGTCTAAAACTCAGCTCTGGATGTGCTATTGCAAAAAAGTGACAGAAGGAGGAATCTCAGTTTTCCACTGCAAGTCAAGAGGGTTTCCCAGCTTCGGGTCAGAAAGGGTTGGTATTGAAGTGTGGCATAAGCACCATCAACTGTGATGATGTCATATGGACTTGTGAACAGAACTGCTTTGGATTTCTAGGTAAGACCTGATGCCTGGTCCTGCTCAAAGTCTTTGTTCCAGTGTCTATCATTTCAATGCAACCTGGAATGAGTTGCTGGAATGCAACAAACCATGGCCCAGATATTCCAATTACTGTTGGAAAGATCGGACCAATAGTAATCCTCTTTAACATTATCCACTTACCTGTCTGTGAGATTTTCAGGCCAAGATTCTGAGTCTGGCCTGTCCTAAATGAGTCAATTGGAGGAAAACAGGGAAAAATTCACTCCGCGCAATATGGTTACAAACCTATACACACCCCTCTCTTATGCCCCTAGCTGCCATATTTAAAGAGTTAAAGGTTCCACAGGCATGAGGTAGGGATGTGGAAGGTTTGGGGGGAGGAGGAGGGTGCCAGATGGGTGCTCAGGTTAGGGTCAGGAGTTGGGATTTGACAAGACCACAGTGGGTGAGTATGTCAGTTCCAACAGGACTGGGCAGTGTAACTAGTTCTGAGGTGCAATAAACTGCTCCTTTTTAAAGACAAGGGACTCTCCTTGTTAGATTAGGAATGATTTTCCCCAAATGTGCCAGAGCAAGCAGTCACTGTCACTTCCTCCACTTCAAGAGGATAGTGGCAGCAATCAGCAGTGTAGTGAGCTAGCAAAACAGTCCAGTGCCAGAAAGACTTGGATACAACACAGAACAAACAAAAAATCAATAATCTAACAAGGGCTACTAGGCTAAAGTTCCAAACCCATATCTCATTATTTTATGCCTAGCCTTGCATTACATATGTCCACAGCACTCGTAATACTTCCTTTCCTACTATCCACCATTTTCCTCAAGGATTAATCAGGGTTATGAGGAAAAGGCAGGAAGATGGAGTTGAATGTTGTCTGATCAGCCACGACCTCATTAAGGCAAAGGAGACTCAATGAGCTAAATGGCCAACATTTGCTCCTATGTCATATGGTCTTCTGGTTCATTTTGTCATCTCCTGTTGCTCCTGAATGAAAGTTACATCCGTTGCCCTCCCCGAACAAATCTTTTACCTCTTCACTCCTGTGCCATCTTCTGCACTTTTATAGTGCAATTCTAATTTAACATGTACATTCTTCAGAAAAATCTCATTTGGCTGCTATTTACACACTTCCTCCTTTCTTGAAGCAGACACTGGTGCATTGCAACAATGAGTAATGTTGTTTAAGACTTTTACATGCAGAGATATAAGGTCTTTTTACCCATGTCTGCTGGCATTTCCTATACCCACAGTGCATTTCTGTGCCTTGGTGTGCAATAGCTTTTTGTTTTCCATGTAGTTAATTAATGTATTAGTTCATCTCATTACCATGACTGATGATTAGAGTTGTTCGTGTCTAGTTCCTGGAGATCATGAGAAGAATTCAAAGTTATATTTATGAGAAAATTGCAAACTCTAAGCACAAACATCAATTAATTAGTGTGAATAATGATTCAAATCTCTTGCATGGAAAATAAATTAAATTTACCATGAAGTTTAATTAAATAACAAAGCAGGAATTGCGCTGGTACAGAATTCAAATGCATAGCACCCATATTTTGGAGAATGCTACAAACAGCCTTTGTGGTCCAAAATGGAAGCTGAGATGCACAAGCACATTTCATGTGTGAGTTCTGCCAAATCATTTTGTTTAAACTGTGCAGTGAGCATCCGCTGGACAGATTCAAAGTAAACAAACCATGATGTCAATCTTGAGTTGAAACCGTCTTTGCAATTTTGGAGCTTTTGCTTTAGATAATGTCCTCATTTTGCTTGAACTTGTATTCATCAGAAGAAAGATCTCCCTATCAGACCTATTTAAATGGATTACTAATTACTCTCAGTTTAGTTCCACATTGATTTTTAATTGCTGTTGCTCAGATTTCAAGACCATTTGCGTCTGTGTGGAGTTTGCACGTTCTCCCCGTGTCTGCGTGGGTTTCCTCCAGGTGCTCCGGCTTCCTCCCACAGTCCAAAGATGTGCAGCTTAGGTGGATTGGCCATGCTAAATTGTCCATTGTGTTCAGATTAGGGGGATGGGTCTGGGATACTCTGAGGGTCGGTGTGGACTTGTTGGGCCGAAGGGTCTGTTTTCACACTGTAGGTGTCTATGGTCTATGGTCTATATTGCGGTTAGATGGGCTTCAGATTGGTTTCACAGGTCGGCGCAACATCGAGGGCCAAAGGGCCTGTACTTCGCTGTAATGTTCTATGTTCTATTTTCTATGTTCCTTTAGAGTCCCTAAAGTCTACAGGGAGTGCTGTGGAAGATGGCCTATTTCTAGGCTTTTGCACAAACCAGACATGTAGCTCCTGGACGTGGCTGTAATTTTCAGCATTTTTCTTGGAATAGAGCATGATTGATTCAATGAACTGAGGCCGTACAAAGCAGGACAAAATGCCGAAGAGGGAGGTGGAGTGGCAGATTTGTTCTTTACAGGAAGGTCTTTCACAAGATTTTTGCTGAATTCGAAATTGCTGTAAAGTATTACCTGCAGACACATCTCACAGTTACACTCAGCAAGTGATCACAAAACAATTAACTGATTAAGATGTAAACCAGCAAGATTTAAAAATAGTCCCATACCATATCTTATCTGCAAAAGATTGTTAAACTTTGAATCCTGTTAACAAAAATACTGGACCCGAAATGTTAACTCTGTTTTTTCCTTCACAGATGCTGCCAGACCTGCTGAGGTTTTCTAGCAACTTTGTTTTTGTTCCTGATTTACTGCATCTGCAGTTCTTTCAGTTTTTACAAAAATGCCTTAATTTAATGATCAATTTGTCATTTTACTCTGCTCTTTCCATTTGTGTTTATATTTTGTTTGCAATTATTGAATGTAAAATTTACCTCATTTTGTCTCTCAGGCCATATCAGAAGTTGATAACATCAATCCAGGTCATTCATGGATCAATTCTCCTCACTGATCACAGACAAGGAGCAAATTGTTAAGTGACTACCCTTTAGTAAGGATGTCTTCCTTTAAATCAGCCACAACAGAAGTATTACAGCAGGCAAGAAGCTCATTGCTAGTGACTGTGCTGATAAAACTTTCTGCAACTGGCA